GACTCATCGTTCTAAATCAGATTAAGACACCCACTGTCTGATCAGGTGACAGGATGTCTATTGGAGTGCCAGTGCTGCTTGAACTTAGTGAGCTGAGTATACTGGCTTTGCATTGACCTAAAGTTTGCCAACACTGTAGCCAAGCCTCTGTATAAGGAATGGATTTAAAATGAAAATGACAGAATTTGAATGAAAACAACAGAAATTGGGAACAAACAATGGAATTTGAATGAACAGAACAGAATTTGAATCAAAACAATAGAATTAGAATGAACAGAACAGAATTAGAATGAACAGAACAGAATTTGAATCAAAACAATAGAATTAGAATGAGAAGAACGGAATTTGAATGAAAAAAACAGAATTTGAATGAAAACAATGGAAGTTTAAAACAAACAACAGAATTAGAATGAACAGAAAAGGATTTGAATCAAAACAATGGAAATAGAATGAAAACGACGGAATTTGAATGAAAACGACGGAATTTGAATGAAAACGACGGAATTTGAATGAAAACGACGGAATTTGAATGAAAACGACGGAATTTGAGAACAAACAATGGAATTTGAACGAAAACAATGGAATTTGAACTAGAGCAGGGCGATATAGCCAAAAATATTTATTATGATATATATTTGAAAATTTGCGATAACGATATAACTGACGATATAATTGATGCGAGACAAAATACAACTCCACAACATTACTAGCGCAAAAAGACAACCTTCCATTTATTTTCACTTAAACAAGAAGCTGGTTTTTATGTACATTAAAGCTTTATAAAAATGTAACAGTGCAAATGCAAATTCCTTGCTGAAAGTTTAACCAAAAGGCATTTCCAGTAGAAATGGGATGACATATCCTGAGCATAACCATGTATAATATCCACTGAAGTTAAAAAGAGGTGCTTTGCAACATTAAACTGCAGTGAGCAGTACGTATTTTTCGGACCACAAGGTGCACGGGATTATAAGGCACATTAAGCGAAACAAAGCAGTCAGATAAATCAAACTTTATTAAACTCATTCTTCTTGCTTCCTCCACTTCTGTACCATTGATTTATTAATGAATGAATTCTGCTCTATTCCCTTGTTGTTGCAGTATATTAATGACTAACCTTGTATTGTGGATGGATTATCTCAGTTGTTCTCCTGACTGAAGTTTGGTCCGTTTACAGCATCCCGCCATGCGATTGCATTTGTCTCTAACTATCAGGAACTTTAACGTTAACTTTTATAAGTGGAAAAGTGTTAGTGTTTGTCCTCCAGCTTCACTGTTTATGTTATGCTAACATAGCTGTGTCGCTAGCGATCAGGTAGCACATCATTATATACCAGCTAGCCCAACTTCAGTAACCCTACAAACGTCATTGCTGTTTAGTTTCCTGTCTTCATTTATGTTGGACGTGATAGCAGAGCTGTACGTTTGAATTTTTCCAGAAATCTCTGTCAGAACATGCTATATCATGCTTAGGTAACTAGCGAAACTAGCGAGCTAACTTCCGCTAGCTTCCTGCTAACTTCTAACTCCGTTAAATGTAACAAATTTTGTTTTCATGGATGCCTGGAAGTTAAATTTCATAGTTTCACCTGGTTAAGCAGCAATGCTGATCGTTTTATTAAAGATGAAAGAATTGAGACAGTTTTTAACTCTCAGTGATGCTGCAGTGTTCGTTTGATCTGAAGAATAGGGAGTTTAGGACCCAGATTACTCCCAGATTTAAGAGCATCTTAGTCCGGCAAATACGACAATAACGACAGCCGCTTGCATGTTCTGCAAAAAAATGTGCTTTGTCGTGTATCTGACGGACAAACACCAAACCAGTTCCACATCACTGAAGTTGCACCATTTTTACAAACCAATTCTGGTTCATCTGTTTCACTCAACAATCGGCCATGTGCGTATGAAAACAAAGGCACTGCGCATGCGCGTTTTACTCATATTCTATCGCGATATTTCATTTTCCTATCGTTGCCAAACATTATACCGGTATTACCGTGAACGGTATAATATGGCCCAGCCCTAATTTGAACGAAAACAACGGAATTGGAATGAAAACAACGGAATTGGAATGAAAACAACAGAATTGGAATGAAAACAACGGAATTGGAATGAAAACAACGGAATTGGAATGAAAACAACAGAATTGGAATGAAAACAACAGAATTGGAATGAAAACAACGGAATTGGAATGAAAACAACGGAATTGGAATGTACAGAACAGTTTGAATGAAAGCAACAGAATTCTAAAACAAACAATAGAATTTGAATAAAAAAGTAGAATTAGAATGAAAACAACAGCATTTGAATGAAAAAAACGGAATTAGAATGAAATGAATAGAATTTGAATGAAAACAACAGAATTGGAATGAACAGAACAGAATTTGAATCAAAACAA